ACCTGGAGGTAGCAAACGCTTTAGATACGGACAGTTTCGTCATGGCACTGAGGAGATTCATGGCAAGGAGAGGGAAGCCAGACTCAATGTACTCCGACAATGGGACGAACCTCGTCGGAGGTGAACGTGAGCTCCGTGAGTCTCTACATGAACTCGACCAAACTCGCATTACTGACGAACTGAGTCAGGAGAACATTAAGTGGACTTTCATGCCTCCCAGCGCCAGCCACATGGGCGGCGTATGGGAAAGGCTGGTGGGCAGCGTAAAGCGCGCGCTCAGAGTAACTATCGGATCTCAGTGTGTGACCGATGAAGTACTCCACACTGCTCTGCTCGAGGTGGAGTCAATGATCAATGGACGGCCGCTGACACACGTCAGTCCTGACAGTACGGATGTTGAGCCACTGACGCCAAATCACCTTCTGCTCGGGTGTGCCAGCGCCAACATGTCTCCTGGCATGTTTCAAGACAGAGAGATCAGCAGCAAACGACGTTGGCGTCAGTCACAAGTACTGGCAGAACATTTTTGGAAGAGATGGCGAAATGAATATGTACCAACACTAGCCAGTCGGCAGAAGTGGTTGCGCGAGAGAAGAAATCTCAAAGTTGAAGACGTCGTGCTGATGATTGAGGCAGACTCACCACGCGGGTTCTGGCCCCTGGCCCGAGTTACAAGAGTGTTCCCGGGCTCGGACGGAGTAGTTCGTACCGTGGAACTGATGGCAGCGGGGGGAGGCAAGTACCGGCGCCCGGTCAGCAAAGTGTGCCTCCTGGAGGAGGCTGAATAAGGTCAGAACTGTTCTGTGTCAGAACTGTGTTCAAGGATGGCTGTTATGTTGGTGACGACAGTGTTGTCCTATCACGTATATCCCAAGTATCCTATGTTTTCCTTTTGTTTCTTCCTAACAGATCCCTCCTGATGGCGGCTAGCTGCGGCGGAGGTGCTCGTCGGCTGAGGTGAGCTGGAGTCCTCCGAAGCTGCGTCCGGGGACGCTCATCGGCGGCGGCGAGCTGGTGCTCTCCGAGGCTGCGGCGAGCTGGTGCGCTCGTCAGCTGCGGCGAGCTGGTGCTCTCCGAGGCTGCGGCGAGCTGGTGCGCTCGTCGGCCGCGGCGAGCTGGTGCTCTCCGAGGCTGCGGCGAGCTGGTGCTCTCCGAGGCCGCAGCGGGCTGGTGTTCTCCGGAGCTGTGGCGGAGACGCTCGCCGGCTGCGGCGAGCTGGTGCGCTCGTCGGCTGCGGCGAGCTGGTACGCTCGTCGGCTGCGGCGAGCCGGTGCTCTCCGAGGCCGCGGCGAGCTGGTGTTCTTCGGAGCTGTGGCGGAGACGCTCGTCGGCTGTGGCGAGCTGGTGCTCTCCGAGGCTGCGGCGAGCTGGTGGTTCTCCGGAGCTGGTACTGCGGGAGCTCGCCTGCCGCACGGAGCTGGTGGCAGTGGGCGGCGGAGATGACTGCTGCTCTCCGGAGCTGTGACTTCGGCAGCGAAGCCGATACCATGCGAGGCGTGGTGTCTTCAGGATGAACGCTGTAGATGTGTGCGCGCGGCTGTGGCTGTTGAGTGGGCAACGTACCGAAGAGGTTTTGTGTTCAGGCTTCCGTTATCCCCGCTCAACGAGGTGTCATTACGACACCGGGGGGAGGATGTAGCGGACTGAGCCGGAGCGGGTTGGTCTGTGCCTTGCTCGACAGGTGGCGCTAGTTGTGGACACAGGTGGCGACGATGTCCCTACTGACCATTGGATGGTGGCGCCACCCTAAGCCAGTGGTGGCGCAGAAAGTCCAGTGCGCCGCCCATCGACGTGGCGTTTTTTTGGCTGTGTGGCGCCGGCGTGAGACGCATGGAGTTTGTGCGCCGCCGTTCGCCACAATGTGATTCGGTGGAAAAACTTTGGTATGTTCTTTCATTATTTTATATTATTTGCCGTTTCTATTGCATTGTTAATGTGATATGAGCCTGATATGATATTAGAGATATTTCGGCGATAGGTAGACCCATGTCTATCGGATAGAGAGTGAAAATGCGTTTCTGGCTGATTTCAGAAACCTACCTACATTCTACATTCTACGTTCTACGTTACTACACCGCTACTACTTCTATCTACGGCCCGCATTTCTTCGCTATGCCGCTGTCTTATTTGTCCGTTCCTACCACCAATTGTTCACCTAAACAACTTCGCCTTACCATATCGTTTTCGCCGTTGGCACGCTGCCAGATGACCCTTTTGCCATGAAAGCCTGAATATATTATTTATTTGTTTTTATTTGTAGTGTCTCAAAGCCCTAACCGTTTCCCACACTCGTGATGCTAAAACTGGTCGTAGCTGGGGCAACGGCCTGGCCTTCTCTGAACATCGCCAGTGAAGCTGCGAATAAAACGTTTAATTGTCTTATAAACATTGGATTAGTGGCAGATTCAACGCCGAAACATGTGTTGCCAATGTATATCGATGTACTGCTGAAAAGCATTATGCAATATGCATACAACTAATAAATAATATCAAAAGGTATGAGTTTAGCTTCCAGCTTCAAAGGTCTCATAGAATCCCATGGGCTGAAAGTTTGGCAACAGTCATCGCCCTGATGGCAACATAGTATTGGCAGCACAGCATGGCTTGAAAGATATTAGGCCGAGAAAATCGCCACCATTTTGGATAAATGAAGTCATCGGCTAACTTTAGCCGGGACTGAATATGTCAGTCTGAGCCGCCGTCGCCGTCGTCCTGCCGGCAGACAGGGACTCGATCTGCTCTCAATCGGCCCCGGTCTGCCCGCGCGGTGTCGGCGGCGTTTTTCCCTCGTCTGGCCCGGACAGCGGCGCCTGACGGTCTGCTGACCTTTATCAGGTCCGCCCTGACCCGTCACTGGCCCGCGGGGGTATCGGACCACCCATGTGGGTCGTAGCGCGCCGATGAGAAGCACTCGAGCCCGGCATATGGCAGGCGAGGTCGACCCGACGGGGTCGCCACTCCGATCGCAGGCGCTGTAAATATTGGCTCAGCGTGTCCAATCAGCCTTGCTGTGTGTTCCGCTTCGACAGCTGCCGGTTTTAGCCTCACGGAGGTGATGATAGACGTGGGATTAGAACGTGATCAGACAAAACATTGCGCATTACACAGCCCACAGTGCTGCTCGACTCGCGTCTATCCCCCATGAGACGCTCCCGCTGGGGTCCTTGTCCACCTTGAACCGCAACATGCCGCAAATTAGAGCACTTCACGGATAGGCTTTTTAGGATCCGGCCCGGCCCATATCCGGCAAGTCATATCCAGATCCGCCCATTATCCGCCTTTCTTTGAATATCAGAATCCGGCCCACCCATGGCCCGTATTGCAGCCAAACTTCCAAAAAATATCCGTAATAATCCGTTTCACCAATAACTGGTTTCACCCAAAACTGGACTAACAAATTCAATCTAAGGGACCAGACAGCCATACAAGTCTTGTAACAAGTGAGTGTCATAAAATGATGCCTATTACTTTAATCAAACCTCTGCTGCCGCTTAACACATTAGGCTAATTTTTAACTTCAATGTTGAATGTTAAAATTTTGATCCGTTTTGATCCGGGTTCAACCTTCAATTCCCAAATCCGGCCCGCCCATATCCGTTCTTTTTTTAACAAATTTAGAATCCAATCCTATCCGGTCCGCGGATTTATCCGTGGATAACGGATTTATCCGGCCCATGAAGTGCTCTACCGCAAATAGCTGTGTTCCCGGCGCCCTCGGCTGGTGCCGGGAGTGGCCAGCTGTTCCCATCCGATAGAGCCGCTGACAGCAGCGGTCGGCCAACTTTGGCGGTGGCTGAACACAGCGACCGCGAGCGACCGACCGGGCCGGCGCGGAATCGATCAGGCCTACCGAAATAGACACCGGGTCCCACCCGCCGTCCGCTCCGCGGCGCCCGGCCGGACGACAGGCTAATTTATTACCGCACATAATGGGTGATCCTGGCCGTGAACAGCTCAACTGATCAGCCATGCACGCGGCCCGTGGGATGACCTGTCTGGCACCATCGATCACACTCGCCACCTCACGGCCCGTTAGTGCTCAAAGAAGGCGGCAAAAATAGCTCGAGGTGTTTAAGTGCTGAACACCTTTAAACACAGTTTAAATTCTAATTGGATGCATAAGCAATCATTTGTAAACAAACAGATTCATTGAAGTGATTTAGGCATAAAGCGAATGCTTGCAAATTCGTTATACTTATGCCTACTTATGTTTTATTATATCAGCAAGCGTTCTTCGAGGCTCACGGTAAATAAGACTGATGAGAAACAATAGCCTCATAATATGATCTTTCCATAATAAATGTTAGCCATGAATCACTTTCAGCAAGTTTCCTAAGCTGAATTTTGCTCCCTAATTATCATGAATGACGAATGGGATGTAATACGTAAGTTGTATTACCTAATGTATCTAAGCATATAGCATAGCATAATCCAAGAGGGGATAGCGTCAGCTCATTTGTCGTAATTGCATTTGGCCCGTTGCTATTCTGTAGCGTTTCACGCTGAACTCTTGCAAATTAGCCCACCCCAGGGTCGCTTGTCACTACAACAAATGTAGCAGCCCGGTTTGCAGGACGGGTTAAGAAATGAATCCACTTAACTGCGATGAATGGGCTCTGCATAACGACCGGGGCTACTTTCATAACAAATAAATCAGTGGATAGACAAGTGAAGGCCGCTAAGACCATTTGGGGAGGCAGCCTGATGCCTGATGGCCGCTGCAACTATCCTGTCAAGACAGGTGAGGGTGACCCATTCTAGCGGGTCTGTTCAAGCTGACCTCCCAGAGACATCCAAGTGACCTCCCAGTGACCTCTCGCTGGCCTTCCGAGGATCTTTCGCTCATCTTACCGCGACTGACCTGGGAGATCCCCCAGTGATCTCTCGCTGACCTCCTGGTGGCCACTTAATGACCTCATAGTGACCTCGCAGTGACCTCCCGCTGACCTCTCGGTGACCTCCCGATGACCTCCCAGTGACATGTCCCGCCAGCCACTGACCTGTAGGTGAGCCGAGCTCGGTGACCTTCTTGCCGTCGGCGTAGACGGCGTAGCCGGTGACGGGCGCGCCGTTGCTGGTACCCGACGTGGAGTTGATGGTCACAGGAAGCCAGGTGACCAGCAGACTGCCCTCCTGCGGGCCCAGCTCGCACTGGACGTCCACCGGCGGGTCGGGCACCCCTGGAGGGGAAAAGGTGGGGTCAGATGGTCGAACGCCCCTGCATAACAATCGCAGCTGTTAGACATGTAAAATAAATGGCCATAATATATCAATTGAATTTTTCACAAAAGAACATCATTTGACATGTCCTGCCGAATAAAATATTGACCGCTAACTCTGTTTCACCTCTGAGTAGCATGATCGCTAATGTGGCATACAGATAAAAGATAGCATGGCTCCGATTTGCAAAATGGCGATACTAGCTCCCAGCTGCCCTGATGTGACTGGGTTGACCGGTGGCCGCCCTATAGCCCGATGGTTGGTGACCACGCCCTCTAGTGTTTGGTGTGTCAAGCGCCCGGCGGGCAGAACAAGGAACGACCACACCCCGCGGTGACCTCGATAGTCCAGTCCGATAAATGATAGTCGATTCCGATAAATGATACTCCGCGCCCCGATATTGCCAGCGGACGACCGGCAGCATAGAGAGTAGGACGGCGATACTGCAGCGAGTAGCAACACAGCGGCGGCCGGAGGGCCAAACGAGAGATGTGATGGGGAGCAGTGCTATTGGTGTCAAATATCAGCTGAGCAGCGCGTTGAAACTAAGCACAATGGGCTTCCAAGTTCCAACCAAGGAAAATAATTCATCAACAACATTGTAATTGAAATCTGTCTGGGAAAATCAAGGCACCAAACAGCCACTTGCACTCACCTTTCCAGCCTTGCCGCGTAAGGAAAATAACATCGAGTTAGACAAGACGTGGAAAACTGCGAAGAACATTGGCCACTGTCTACATCGTATAAGAACATTTGTTTTTAATGTTTTTGCTTCCTTTGTACGACTAAATCCGCCTACTTTCAACACGTGACAAGCATACGACTTGAGCTGGTTCATCAGATCAAGCCGCACAGCCCACTTCGCATGCTGTGTAATGCGGCACAGCATCAGTTCAGGCGTTTGATGCCAGTGCCATCTATCGACAGAGATCTCACTAAATGCTCGCGGGGAAGGGGCCGATGGAAGTCGTTTGAAAGATATTGGTGAGCGGACAAGCGTAATAGCATGACACTGCCGCTTATCCAAATCGCTGCCGTAAACGACATATGCATAACATATAAATACATCGAAATAATCAAAATGCGAGGCATATGGTGCACTGCCGTACACCTTTACCATGTTACTCTCCAGCTATTACTCACCTTTCGGCAGAGTGCGGAACTCGATGTGCGTGGCCAGCCGCTCCAGCTGCTTCGGCGTGCGACTGGCGAACTGAGGTGCCGTGATGTTCTTCACTTTCACACTCACACGATATGTCGTATTCGGAGATATGCCTGTCAAGAAGAATTGGCACCCGTCAGCACGAAACAATACGGAGTATGCTAAGCAATTCGCTTATAATAACTGATGTGTGATTGCAGATACTGGAAGCCCTCCATTCATCCCTTCGAACTAAATTTATTATAAAAACAATATTCTACATAATGTCGATTTCATCACAAAACAAAATTCACTCAATTTGACTCGGGTTATGAATAGTGTTGGATCTGCCGATGCCTCGAGACAACCCTCCCAGTCCACCAGCAGATCATACCGGGCCCGTTTCGCCGCCACTGACCTGTGATGGTGTGCCGGTAGACGCCCGGTTTGACGGTGCGCACCTCCACGCTGTTGACGCACACCGTGTGCTGGAAGTTGCTGTTGCTCGGCAGCCAGCTGATCACGGCCGACGTGGACGTGACGTTAGTGGCGCGCACGGCCGTCGGCGCCAGCGGCACGTCCTTGCCAATCAGCATGGTACACGCGGCGTCTCGCGAGGTGCGCCGGTTCGGCGTCACGGCGCGCACGCTGATACGGTGCGGCTGTAAGTGGGCGAGCGGGCCGGTCAGAGAATAAAACGCTATCGGTATCGACAAGCCAGCAGACTGACAAATAATTTAGAGATTAAGTTTTAATGAAATCAATATCATAGAGACTGATGACGAATAAGAACCTGCAGAACTGTGTCTGCCCTAATGGCAAACTAAAATCAGCTTGCCTCTCCCAAGACGTTTGACAGCCCCACCACCCCACTCAGAGGTCGCCCCTGACACGGTCCGCTCACCCGGCTCGAGTCGACTCCCTCGATGAGGGCACAGGTGCGCTCCGAGGCGCGCACACTCGTCCTCAGCAGGCCGTCCACGTACACGTGGTAGCAGTCGACGGTGCCCGGCGGCGCGTCGGGCGCGTTCCAGCCAATCACCACCGACTTGTTGAGCTGGCGCTCGAGCGTCAGCTGGCGCGGCGGCGGCACTAGTACCGAGAAGAACACGTCTGGTTGGTGGGAGGACGGCCGACGTCACACGTGGACGGGGAACGGCACAGGGTGCGCCAGGGAGGTGTCACGCGAACGGCGGGCGGCGGCACGAGGCACTACACGGGTGTACACATTGGAGAGCTAAACAGCCAGTGAACTGTGGAACGCAATACTACCAAAAATACAAGCGCATTAAAAAATACAGGATTTTTCAAAAGATTTGACCTGGATAACAATGCATTTTCTAGACAAAAATTCGCCTGTTAGGGGTCCGGAAACATAATGCTAAAAAGCGTTTCCAAATCTAGTCGAAATACCTGTGAACAGCACCACCCCTACGCCTCCGACCGTCGCAGATGATCATATGTTCATTATCCAACGCCCTGCCACCGCCCAGACTGTCCCGCCAGCTCCTAAGTCCTAACTCACCTGTGCCCTGACCCCCCCCCCCCCCCCCCCCACTGACCTATGCCCTGGCCCCAGGACTGAGACCACTGACTTGACCCCTGTCTGTCGTGGCTGACCTGTGCCCTGACGCCGCCCACTGGCCTATGCCCTGACCCCAGAACTGACCACTGACTTGTGCCCTGTCCCACTGTACTGACCTGTGCCCTGTCCGCCGGGGCCTCCGCCCATGTGCTCCTCCTCCTCGTCATCGCTGAGCAGCGAGCCCTCGTACCGGTACTGGGCCGGGTACTGCGCCGGCGGCCCGTACCCGTCCTGGACCGGCCGCCCCGCCGCGTACTCGTCTGCCGGTCGCCGGTGCCAGGTCAGAGCTGGTGCTACATCGGTGCAGGAGGACAAGGCATCCGTCACACGGGCGTAACGGAGGTCGGGTGTCACTGTGAAGTGGCAGAGTGGTGTGGTGAGGAAATACAACACATCGTGGCGCACACTGAGACGTCGTGCTGAGTTGAAAAAAGCGAAGAGCGTGTACAACAATGATAACAATAAAACTACCCTGATCTCTGCTATTAAGTCGCTTTTTTCGCGAGGCACAGAATCCATATAAGTTTGGGGCGGTGTGGGATGAATGAGGGGTGAATGGCGGCTAACAAACGCCTAAACCCGGTTCTTTGCACCAATCATCTGCATGGTGATTCGTGGAATTACAATCATATGATTATTATAAAGAAGGAATACGTGAACACGGCGCAAGCAGAAGCAAAAAGGGTTGAGAAAATCTCAGTATATGTGCAGTCTACTTGCAATGAAATTGGCAGGAGTCTTGTCGATATAAACAAAAAATGTGTTATGCTATAAATTAAACATATATCGTAATAAATATGAATAAACAAGATTAAAAAAAAAACGTGAAAAATACCGGGTGATGATAAAATAGATGCGTCCACCGTTTCAGAAACAGGCAGCACATCTTTACTAATTAACTACCCTATATGTAGAAGACGGGATGGAGGATTATAATAAGATTCTTAATTCATTCCCAATACAGCTGCAAAATAAATTCAGAAAAAATCGGTATACATAAACGAAAAACAACACTCAAATTTACAAGAAAATAAACTGGAGTGCGTTCATGCGTTATGCGGAGAGCATACAAGCATCTACAAGCACACAAATGCAGACTAGGCAGTGCCTGTGCATCAACAGATAATAGTTACTAGAGGAATAAAGGGAAAAAAGAGAGTTGTGCGCTGCCGACGTACTCGGTCTGTAGCCCTGCACGCGCCGCACCTCCGGCATTCGCCGCTGGATCCGAGCACCGTGCTTATTGAAGCGCAAGTGGGCTACGGAACAGCGCGGGCTCAGCCACAGAGACAGACAGACAGACAGACAACAACGGGACAGAGGGAGAGAGCTTCTGAAATCTGAGACACGAGTGAGCAGCAGAGAGAATGGAAGAGATTATAGAGGACGAAACTTGAAGGGAAAGAGAACGCGAAGGAAGAGCGAAAAAAGGGACACGAGAACAGAGGGAAGAGAAAGAGAGACAATGGGGAAAGAGCGCAGCGAGGAGAGGGGAACAGAGAGAACGGGGAGACAGCTGCATAGAAAGAGGTGTGAAAATTAGGATAGAAAATGAGAGAGCATTAGACTTATTAGACTTAGGTATGAGGCATCAAGAACAGGGGTCGGAAGCGTTTCAGTACCACTAAGCGGCTGAGGCGACAGCATAGATGGAAAAATAGGTCAATGAAGAATCGCCCGAAAATTAAGTTTGTTTTAGTATATGTCAAGCAATGCACAAAATGTTCAGCGAGCCAGATTAGAGTGTCAGTTTCGTAAACTTGGTTAAGCGGTACCATTAATTAAAGTACGATCCAAGCAATCACCAGATAACCAGATAGCTCAGCTAAAGGCACAACAGGACATACAAGCACAAACAAAAACACTTAACAGCAAGCCTAGCAGTACAAAGACGACAGACAATATTGACAAAACATTGTTTTGTCAGACCATGATCTTTTAGTACTGTGCGTATACTGTGAAGGGCGAACGGGTGGAAATGTGAAAAATAGGCATTTAAAACACCCTCGGCTCAAGCTGAGGGGAAACACAGTTCATAAAACAAATTGGTACAAATGGAAAGGACTTTGTTGTCTTATGAGATAGTCGACGATGAAATTACCATACAGCCAGGGATCAACGAACTCATACTAACTAAGACGTTATCAGCAAAAGCTGATGTTTTGTCTGTCTCAGTGTCCCCCCCCCCCCCCTGATATGCAGAGGGCGTTCCAAAAACACACACCGACAGATCAGCAAGCATGATCTAGACCGTAACATGTGTGTCTCGCAGCCCGCACCACCGGTCCCGGTCACCCCGTCACAGCACTGACCCATGTTGTTGAGGAGCGCCTCGTCGGCCGAGTTGAAGTCGAGGTCGTGCGGCACGCAGGTGGAGACGGAGGTGCGGTCGCAGTCGCGCAGGCCGGCCACCACCTGCCGGTGGAACTCGAGCAGGTCCTCGCCGACCAGTTTCTGGACGAAGTTGGAGGGCACCAGGCCGCGCCGGCCGTCCAGCGTCTCGCCGTCCAGGAAGCCGTCCTCGTCCACCTCGCCCCAGACGAGCACGTAGTCGCCGGCGTTCAGACGCAGCTCCGACTCGGGCGCCTCGTTCGGCGAGTGCTGGAACGGGTCGTACGAGTACCTGCAGGCAGGGGGCGGTGACGGTCACGGGACCTGTGCAGGTCGAAAGGTACGGTAAGGTGAGCGACCGAGACTGTGCGACGATCGACCGGGAATAAACTTGATAGGGAAGTGACACATTCGAGGTTGCAGCTATTCGATAGAAAGAAAGTTCGATATAACGTTACATCCAGATGCGTCTGACATTGCAATTTGCATTTACTTCTCGCAACACTGCACAATGCACTCGCCTGGCGATGAAGACCTGACACTTTCCCTTGCCGGGGATGTCTAGTACGTCCACCACGCCCGGCGCGTGCGTCGTGTTGAGGTGGTGCGCCATGTTGGCCGGCAGGAGGCCCGGTACGGTGCCGTTCATCAGCCCGGCCTTGTCTGAAATACATAGCGCATCGATAAGATATGTGCAGTAAGGTAAGACGTGATGTTATCGCCTCTGCGAACGCGTGGCCAACTGTCAATCATGCAAGAGGTCAGTTTGGTTCACATCATGAAAGGATCTGATAAAGTAAGAAAACACCGAATTAAGTATATGTTAAATGATTCGGAAAGGTCTTACTTTGAACTTCCCCGTCTGAAGTAAAGTGCGCAAGCAAAGGTTAATCACATTATTGTGGTACGGTTGCAAGTCCCTCTCTCAGTGCACACTGCATGTCCCCACTGAGGACGTCCCGAGTGTGTCTGCTCACCGTCCCGGTAGAGTCCCGCCGGGATGGCCTGCACGGTGGCCACCTGACCGGGCAGCGCCGCCGGCAGTGTGCCGGCCACGGGCACCACGCGCAGCGCCGGGTCCAGGCTGTAGCCGGGCGGCAGCAGGGCGCCGCCGGCCGCCGGGTAGCCGGCAGAGAACGGGTTGGTGGGCAGCAACTGGTCGGCGCCCAGCTGGGTCAGCCCGGCCGGCAGCGTCGGCAGCGCTGAGGTCAGGTACACTGGCTGCGGAACGGCCGCCGGCGCGCCGCTGCTCGCCAGAGAGGCCGCCAGCCCTGCGGTCAGAGCGGGTCAGTCAAACCGAATCAGTCACCACCCCGAGCGAATGGGGCACTGGTCGCCAGCCCTGCGGTCGGGGCAGGTCAGGCAAATAACATCAACCCTCCCTTGCGAAAGATATAAGCAGACTCGGTCAACCCTGCAGTCGGGGAGAGTCAGTCACCTCTGCACAACAGCGGGAGGAGATATGAGCCGCCAGCCCTGCCGCTATGTATGTAGGGGAAAATGGTCAAACAATACAATACAGCGGCTGCACAGCCGAAGGCGGGATGGTCGTCGGCATCCGAGGACAAACATGATTCACCACCAGCCCTGAGTTCAGATGAGAGCGGCACATACCCTGAGTTTCAACTGGGACTGCGGACTGACACGATGTTGGGCGGTAAGTTTTTGACGTGAGAGGCTCCACCTACGCCGGGTGGCCAGAACAGTCAGTGCGGGAGGGCGCTGTGAGCAGCCGGTGGCAGCCACTAAAGAGGATCATTTCAGGAGGGCCGCAGCGGCCAGTCACCTACCCACACTGACTTCTATGTAATGGTCACCCATCTCCCTTCAGCTGTCGCTGCCTAACCTGACATAAAAAGACCGATGGGACACGGGCGTAGCCTTCTAAACAAACTAACGAAAAAAAAATATTGTGACTAAACTGTCCGCTAAGTATTCTGACTACCGAGGGCCTCTTATAACACCAACTATTTGCTTCCTACGCTGACTATTGATATTCATGGAGACACAACTGTCTGCTTCGGAAACTACCCATCGAAGGAAACTGATGACATTAACTGTCAGCTACATACGCTATCAAGGACCAAAGGCGACACCGATTGTTAGCTACCTCTGTACTGGCTATCAAGGGCCGATGGAGAAACCATTTGTTTTTCTACTTGCGCTCACTATTGAGACACTGTCAGCTACCATAACTAAGGGAATTGGCGACACCAACTTCCGCTACCTTCACTGACCGCTGAGGCCAATTGAGACACCATCTGTCCGCTGCCACGCAATACGCTGCGACTATCCAGTGCTTCTGATAACATCAACTGCGGCTATCGAGGACGGTCACTATCGAGGGCCTCTAATAACACCAACTGTCGGCTACCTACGCTCACTATGAGGGCCAATGGAGACACCGACTGCGGCCCACCTGCCGAGCGAGTTAGACGCCGAGAGCGCGACGATCGGTGAGCCTTGCGGCCGGACACCGGCGCGCTACCCAGCTCCGGGGCAGAGACTGAGGAGTGGGTGTGGGTGTGGGTGTGGGTGTACGGGTGGGGGTGCGGGTGGTCGGGGTCCGGGTCCGGATGCGGCCGGGGCAGCTGCCGCCCGGAGCGGGCCGACCGCTCGCCGGTCGGCTGACCGGAGCGACGGGCGCCTGGCCGCCGCCTCCGGGGCCGGGTCGGCGGTACAGAGCAGAGACGGCCTGGGGAGGCACAGACGGAGCGCCGGAGGGGTCACACACTGACCTCACCTGACCCGGCCGTCGGCCAGCACACAGTCACGGCCAGCCCGCACACAATCAGACAGCAGCAGCCGCCGTGCACAGCACACGGGACAAAAGCCTCGCGGCCACAACTACAGATCAAGCCATTCCAGAAAATTGTCAGACCGATCGGCACACAAAAGCAGAGATGAGAAAAGATTTCAAATCCTTCAAAAATGCCAGAGAAGTGAAATACAATTGCATGCAAAAGCAGCATGCGTCACTCTTTCAAGGCATCATGTTCATGATGGTTATTCACGATTCAATGAACGTGTTCAATAAATTTAGCAGTGAATTAAAACTCATTTTACAATAGAATGCATGGAATGAATTCCATAAACGATTAACATTACATTTACCTCAGATTATTGCGAGACACAGATGCATCGTAGCTTTCAGCGATGCTTGTCAACACAACACCAAAGCACCAGCGGGTTTTCTGGTGCTTGACACTGACAACAATACATCGGCACGATCGGTAGGCCATACTCGCGCTCCGGACACTGAAGCACCACGGTGACTGGTGGCGCTGCACAGTTCAACTCGACACACCACGACCGGCGGCCGCTGCACGTGCCACTGACGCCACAGAACGACAGAGACGCTTACCTAGCGCCGACCGGGCCCTGTCTAACTCGGCCAAAAACTTGGTATCGCTCTCCATTTGTGCGCGGAATTTGTCCAGCTCGAGGCTGGCCGAGCTCGGTCCCGACACTGAGCGGGCCGGGAGTTGAATGTCTGTGACTCGCCGCGTCCAGACTGGAAGCCGGCGCCGACACCCGCTCAAATACAGGTTCACACATCACACCAGGCTACAAAGCAGCAATGCAAAGATGCGCAGGGAAGGCCAACTACAACAGCCTGATACTCGGTCGAATGAGAAGGCAGGCTCGAATATAAAAATTCAATGTTGTGATGAATGATTTTTAAAAGCAACGTCTATAACGTAGTAGAACCAACATGGGTGGAGCTTTGCTGTCATCTAATGCTCAAGCTTTAAAACGTCATAAGGGATTGTTTGTAGAAGCTTTTGAGAAGGATACATTGTAGAGGGTTCCATATCCTGGGCTAAACAGTTACAATTATTCGGCGGCAAATTATCAAAGGTTACAGCGGTTTCTACTCCAGCGAGAGTTACCACACGATGGGTGAGTAAGTGAGAAGCACACAAAGGGCGCATTTTTGCCGTCTGCTCAGCCGGGGCGGGACGGACTGGCCCTTGTGCTCGGTAATGGGCTCTGACGGCCGGCGGCGGGCCAGCTCTGTTCGTGTCAACACCGGTCAGTCGGGCAAACAGAGCGGACAGCGGCCCCGGCAGCCGACAGGGATCAGCTGCGGGCACAAACGACGCCGCGGCCCGCGGAGCAGGGGCCACGGGCGGGAGGCGAGGTCAGGGGTCACGGGGTGTTGGGAGGCGAGGTCAGGGGTCACAGCTGGGGGCCTTACATGGTGACTCGTCCACCTCCGGCAGGGCGTCCAGGCTGGCGGGCGTGATGGCCGTGCCCACCGGCGTGGAGCGGGCAGTGCTCTCCGTGGACAGCAGCATCGAGTCTGGCAATACACACACGTGACCACCGTCAGTGCCACGGTCAGGGCAAACGAATTAATTGGCAGACTTGAAACCACCGCTCTCTGGTGTAGTATTAACAGCAAAGTCTTACCTATGCGATATTTCCGAAGAGTACCGTACTATGAGTCAGATTCATGTTCCGTGACTTTTACGGTCAAGTTACCTGGAGTGATGGTTCCGTCTGGGCTTCCGTCCTGAGAGTTTTTGTATTTGTTCTGCTTTTTGAGCGATGACATTTCCAGCATGAGTTCTTCATGGCGCAGACTCTGAACCTCCGCCTTTTTCTCCAGCTCCCGGATCTGAGGACAAGCGCAAATATTTCAACTCAGGCAGCGGCTCCCATTAGTCTGCTAATACATTCCCGAGCAATTATACATTCCCGAGCAACTTATTTATCACTCGTACCTTACGGCCAAATGCAAACATAGTTCGACACGAGCGATGACTCGGTGCTGCCGCAGCTGTTAACGCACTTAACACCATTCATCCATCACGGGTCGGGGGTTCGGCAGACATACCTTGCTCTCCAGCGTCTGAATGGTGTCTAGCGAGGCCTGCTTCTCGCTCTCGGACGCCTTGGTGAGCGTGGCGATCTCCTCCTGCTTCTGCCGCAGCTGCTGCTGAGCCTCCTGGTGCTGCTTTTCAAGCTCCTTCTTGCGCTCAGCAGCATCGCGCATTTGCTGCAGCGATAGGTAAATGCGCGCGTTTAGAGGGCAAATCGGAGCGAATGGCAAACATGTTCGAGAGGTGAAACATACAAGCGTTTTAATGATTTCAATGTGCGTTAACGGTGTTTGGCGCTGTGCGTTCTTTTTTAATATTGGAGATAAAAACACCGAACGACGTTGTGTTCTTCGCTTATCACACTGTAAATGACTCAAAAATTTAAATGCATTTAATTGATATTGGTATGCAAACATATGACATTTTTAGAAGAAAAAACCTTACTGAGGACAATATCAAAAAGTGTAGCAAATCTTATGCATTCGTTGAAACGTATTTGATGGCGACTGGTGCCTATGGTTGCTTTATAGCAAGGCACTTACGGCCTAGGTATTCCTCGTAAACACATTGTATTGTGATAGCTTTCAGAAGCGTTCAGTCCTGAGAGGTATTGCGTACAACTCTGAATAGCGCGGCATCGAGCTTACCCTTAGTACGGACTCCAGGGTTGAAACTTTTTCCTTCAGGGTTTCTACCTCAAACTTGGCCGACTCATATTCTGTTCCGACGCTGTTGAGACTCTCTTTGAGCGATGCACATTGTAAGCTTATCTGTAGGCAAATATTATCATCGTAACCAACCCGCGCAACGGATGGGCGCACATTGACGGGGGATGGACACGCCTGCGGTTTCATGCACAGAGGCACAGCATCGGGCAAGGCCACCTCTAAAATGGTTTGAATGCTGCAAAAGTCATTGGGCAATAAGGCTTGCAAATGCATGCTATAAATACAGTTTGCCTTGCTATCATGCTAGCAGCTTCTTTGGCCATTCGGTTCATTCAAACACGGCCCACAAAGTTGGTCTCTCAATGATACTTACACTATCTAGTTCATGAATTTGTCGCTGAAGATCGCTATTTTGTATTGTCAATTCGGTGTTTTTCTCAATCACTCTTGTTAGCTGCTTTTCCTGAAATAAGAGGGATGACAATAACAACTGATCCATGTCTATGAACCATGCCAGGAACCTATTTGATTGAGCCACAGCCTTCTCTATTTATAAAGTCTGTGATTGAGCTTTTCGTCGAAAGAAATAACAACATCTGGACATTCACCACATTGAAGTTTGATTACGTACGCAGAAGAAACAGTCAATTATACACAATGGGCCAATGGCGGATCTAGAAAGGCGGTCTTGGCGCTGCGGGGGGGGGGGGCACACTCCCTTAAGTTTTCTCTCCAAGTTCCAAAAACTCATTGGAGTTTGATTCCTGACACACTGCTGTACAATTTGAAACAAACTTTTCCTCATAAAGTTGTTCAGTTAACCCGCGAGTTGCTGGGGGGGAAACTTTTTTCGCCGGGCCATAGCATAAAAACGGCGCGCCGCAGGCGCGCCAAATTTTGGGTACCTGTAGGGAATTGATTGAAGTTTATTGTGACAAAGTTTCAAAAAAATCGGTCGGAAAATTTTTGAGATATCGAGGTTTTAGTAACGTCATGATTTCTGAGTTTTCGACCAAAAACGGCATATGTTCAAAAAATCATATAAAATCACAGAATAGACATACAGACATGCCGTAAACGCCATTAGACTGCCAATACCATGATCAATCAAATGGTTATCTTCGATTATTGATTATCGTTCCGCATTTTCCATAATCTTGAACTGAATCTTGGCAATTTTTCGTGACTTCTTCACGACCATGATACATGCGTTTCTTAAATTGAACTTTTTGAGCCAAACACGTACAGATATGATAAAATTAATGTCACCATCGTGTTCTACGCCTCAAATTACCTATAAAACATGTGTCACAGGCCGCGAATATCAGTTTTGATTTTCGGGTATATGTGCCTGCCCGGTTGACCTGACCTTGACCCTGACCTATGCTTGACTGACCCCTACATGAAGCTGACACTCTTGTAGGCCTTATATGATGGATTGTGCACCGTTTTGACAGAGTTTATGACGAGAGGTGCCCATTGGGAAGTCCTGAAGTCCATGCTACTGAAAGCCCGATTTCAGGTGTTTGACCTGACCTTGACCCGACCTGTGACCTCAAAATTCAACTTTTAAGTACTCATCTGAAGCGTCTCGTCGCGCTCTTTCGTTTGCCGCATCGTGCGTTTCGCTGCGCCTATTGGTTCTCGAGTTATCGGCTGGGGGCGTTTAACGCCCCCCCCCCCCCCAGCAAACGGTGGGTGGCGAAATACCCCAGCAACTGCCGGGTTAACGTTTTACTGTCGAAAAAGTGCAGTTTTTTGTCGATTTCGAGCGATCGGTGCTCCCCCTCCCCAAGATCCGCTAGGGTTTATATGTTTTATCAACGCATAGCCAATGATCGAGCAACCCATTGCGCGTAGGTATAACAAAGAAGACCCGAGGCAAATTGCGGAGTCACCGTCTTTTGGGTTAGCGATTGTTCTATATTGAAGTCGCTAAGTATTGCGGAACAGTATCAGGTTAGACGCTCTTCGGCGTTGTAGTCACTCAGTAAGACCAAAGCAAGGCGACCAAGGTCCCGGGCCCATTCACCCGTGCGTTGCAGTCTCCGTGTCCAGCGGCACAGTCTACCAGCGCAGTGGTGCCTCGGCTGTTACCATGGCAACGACTTGAGATTCGTCCCTCGTCCCCTTGAGGCCATTCGCGACTTCGTTGGAGGCGAGAACGCTCAGTTTCATATGGTGATGCGATATTACAAATTTAGTGGCGTTGCGATAGCCGAAACCGCACAATTTATCAGCCCTTATGTCAACGCGAGTGTGCAATAACTTAGTTCTAGAACAGAGCGGGGAGCTGTGGGAGAGGAGAGGAGAGGAGAGGAGAGGAGAGGAGAGGAGAGGAGAGGAGAGGAGAGGAGAGGAGAGGAGAGGAGAGGAAAGAGATGAGAGGGGAAGGGACGGAATGAGACGAGAAGATAAATATAAAATGGGTGCAATCCGTGCAAATGTTGCTAGCACGCCTATTATAATTGGACACTCCCGTTAGATAGTATCTTGTTTGTGAAGCTCTACACTTTGCAGGACTGATAAAGTGCAAGTAAGGGCTCACCAGGTCATCGCATAATTCATTCTTGATGTGCAAACTTTCTGCCAGCTGCTCACATTCCTCGATTTTCTCCTCGAACTGTGTTTGAATCTCCTTGTGATCCTGAAAGAAGAAACAAATACATACCTTGCATTTAGTCTAGATAAAGCTAAAAATGTAATTCCACTTTGGGTTGGCAACCTAATTTTGTCTGAGAATATCGGGGCTCAGTGCTTGCAGCTTACAGCTACCCTTCGGCGTAAAAGGACATTTTGAATTATTACCGTCATTATAAAGTAGCACATACATGCCGTATGTAGCCTTGATCTTGGGAAACTCGTAGCCAGAAGTTTCATTCTACTTGGATAAGCCCCTTGTTTGTGTATCGGGCATTATCGAAAAACAGTGACTTATTTTAGCCGTGACCAGTTGCCGCAATTCAAGAATGCCGTGATATTACGAATTTGTCTCCGCTCACCTGGACTAGTTTGTTGAGCTCGTTCAGCTGCGCGGAGAGGGTGATGTTCTGCTCTTCGAGAGCCTGGAATCTGTCGACGTCAGAGGCTCGCTGGTTGCGCTGCTCCTGAAACAAAACAAAAAATAGTTAGAGAATATCACCGGAACGGAGCGCTGAGTTTAAAAGGATCACAAAGCACATCGATTTAAAAAGTGCAAGTGAAGCTGATAACTCATGACTGAAAAATGAAGCTATTGGCTAACACATGTTTGAAGACTGAAGCAGAAATCCCGCACACACTCGGACACAATCCTTCTGAAGCGACGCAGATCAAGTACGAGGATTGATATTTGGTTTGAGCTTCCGAAAGACTGCGCAGGCAGTAACAAAAGCTATATCATTGGGAAATTTACCAGAGAGCCATGCAACAATCGCGGTAAGCATCGCGACATTGCCGAGCAGGCTGCGGCTGCGCGCCGGTGACCTGCGGCAGGTACCGGCCGGTACCAGCCAATACCTGTGGCAGGTACGGGCTGACAGGTAAGGCGAGAGCAGCAGAGGAGGAACCAGAAGGGTTGGGTGGCCCTAACGCTGGCCTTCACGCAGCAAGCTGAGGAGAGGCTGGCCCAGACAGGGGGCGGGAGGGCTGACAGCTGACTGGTCCAGACGGGAGCCGAGGGGAGGGTGACCCAGACTGGGGTACGGCGCTGGGGGAGGGGGCTGAGGGAGGCGGACCCAGACGGCGCTGATATTCGGCGACTTGTTTGCCGCAGCTCAACCGCAGAGGGGTCACTGAAGACGGCCGGGACGGCATAAAAACTGTTCTGGCTGGCCATGGCCAGCCGTTCGAAGCTACGGTATTGGTTAAATATCTAAATGTAAGTGTAAATACGAATAATGAGCTAAGTTAAAAATACAATTACCAGCTCCTGCGGGTACCACGCCGTCGTTTAACCCTATTCCTGGCGGGCTCCGCCGGGACAAGAAACTGGCGGGGGGGCCGATTCGGCCCCCCCCCCTTCAGATCTCAAAAACTACACATCGCAGCGACAAACGGTAAACGGCATCGGATACGCACGGTCAAGATCTACAATTTTTACTAAGGTCATTTTCAGATCAGGTCAAAGATGACGTCACAGGGGTCGAAAAAGTCAAAATGGCGGCGCTAGATATGGAGAGTTTTTCTCGAATAACTTTCGAATTAGTCAAGATAGGAACAAACTAAGGGCATCATCGTGATCCTCTCGTCAATCCGCATCGAATGATATATATGTTGACCTCGAAAGGTCAAGGTCAAAGGTTGACCTCAGGTCACGTGACCTCGAGGTCATCATGTATATCATTCGATGCGTCTTGACGAGCTGAACACAATGAGACCATCCACGCGTCTGTATCTTGTTCCTGTACGGAGTTATTGGCCAAAAACCTTTGGTGACCTTTGATGACGTCACATGACCTCACAGCTGCCCAACAGCAAAACAGACCTCAAGGTAGTGAAGGTTGATCGTATATGAAGTCATGTATGGTATATGGGGCCATTCCGACCCGTTTTAGTGGTAAAAACAGGGAGTTGATTTTTCCCCCATTGACTTATAATGGGGAGGTCGCGAAACTGACCTGACCTTAGGTCACCGATATCAAAATTCCGAGATATACAAATTGCACATACTGGTACCCTAACTAAAGCCTGAAGAGAAGAAATTGATCGGTCAAAAACTCTAGCTCTGGCGTGATTGCAAACTTTTCTGAGGTAGGGTCACCAAACCGCCTCTGGTGACCTGACCTGAGGTCAGATCAACTCAAAATTTTCAGACATGTTGCGTAGAAGCCTTTTAGGAAAAGTCAGAATATTTGAGCTTCCTAGCTCAACGCGTTTGGGAGAAATAACCAAAAAACCTCAGGGGGGCTCCTGAGGCCCCCCGCCAGGAATAGGGTTAAACCCATAGTGGCATTGAGCGCCACTGAAAATTCGCTGTTGTGTACAGAACTAGCACGCAGGAAATTAGTCACGGTGGGGGCGGCCGGCCGGACATTCCAGGAGTGTGGCCCTGCAGCACGGGCTCACTTCCTTCCTTCCTGACACTGCGTGCTCGACAGCGGGAGGGTGCGGTGGACACGTCCCTTGTAGTTCCCTTGGTAGCTGGATCTGCGGTCGTCCGTCCCACCAAGCTGGCGGCTGACATGGTATTCCGCCCGGCCCACCCAGGGCGACTGCGGTCGGTAAGCGGGCAGTCCTACCCAACCAGTCCGTAACACCCAACGTCGTCCGTCCCACCCGCGGCGCCACCCCACCCAACGGCGGCTAACCATCATAGTCCGCCCCACCGCGGCGGCAGGCCAGCGGGCCGCCCCGTGAGCCAGCGCTCCGTCATCGATACCGGTGACATGGCCGCCCCCTCCGCGTCCCCGCCCCCTGCTGCGGCGGCGCGCTCGTGCCGGCCGATTAGCCGAGGGGGAGACGGTGGCCAATTAGAGAGACAGACGGTCATCCGCCGGCACCGTGACGTCATCAGCGCCCCCCCCCCGCCCACCGCGCCCACAGACACCGGCCACATTGATCCCGAGAGAAGGGAGATGACCCGGGATAACACCACAGGCGGGCGGCTGACCCGAGTTAGTACTGAGGGGAGGGACGGCCTCGGGTGCTGGTAATAAGGGGATTCCAGGAGTACAAACCCAGCGCGGGCTCACGTTCCTCAGCTATCGCCAAAGATGAAAGAATGACCTAAGATGACTGCAAACAAGTGTAACCAATTGTGATCGACCACGGCAAAGAAAAGGCAAGAAAAAACATAAAAATCCAGTTTTCTAATAATTTCGTTTTCACTTTTGGGGGCAGCATTGAGATAAAACATCAAAAACCCAAATAAATGACGCTTTGCCAGCATACCATTTTCTAAAAAGTCCACCGGAGCTCGTCTACAGAGTAATCCCTGTTCAACAAAAGTTTCCACGTGACCACGCTGACCAAGTTTCTGGACATAGATCCGGGAAGGCATTTGTGCCAGCTCATGGTGCCAGGCTTTGTGAAGACTGGCTGCACACAGCTGTACATTGACACCACTTGACCGAGCCATTGGCACTGACATCTTGACAGTTGACTCGTGCGATTTTACTGCTTAATCGAAGCAGCACTGCAGCTCTTGGCCGCCCACAAATGAGGGCAGAGTAGGCGATAGCTGGGCGGAGGCGGCCTTCTAATAACGGCCGAATATGAGCAATAGCGGCGCCACGAGCCGCCTCATAACGGCGACCGCGCGCGGCTGTTTGTGCGTGTGCCGGCGACTGCAGGTGACGGTCGATTGCCGGCGCGGCACGATCAATTTTGCGGTGCCGCTCTGCAGGCTGGACGGCCGAGAGTGGTGGAGGGACTGACGAGTGTTGAAACAGTTGGAAACTGGTACTCCGTAAATGCAAGCTAGATCGTTTCCTGACAGCCCAATACGACGCTGAATCAGTAGCCTCTTGGCATGAAGAAGTAGTCCAAGAATACCAGGCGTAGGCAAATAAGCCAAATGATCAGAGATTGCGCAGCTTCTCGACCACTTCTCCGAATCACGTCGCGCTCTCCGATGGCCCAGCTCAGCTCTGACGGCCAGCTGACCGTCCGGCGCGCTGTCGGTCGTCACAGGACGGCGCCGCTGGTGCCGTGCCGTCGGCGCTCAACCATTACCGTCTTCGTCAGCGTCGATCGGCCGCCGGGCCGCCGACGATCCGGGCCGGCCGGCCGGTCGGTCAGCCGCGACCGGCCGGCGGCCACGGAGCCGGCCCGGAGGCGTGTCGCGCCCGGTCAGAGACTGAGTGGCGGACTGAGGTGACTGGGAGCACCGCGGTCACCGGGAGCAGCACACCAGCGGCCGGAACTCACCCGGAGCTAACACACCGAACAGTGGGCGGCCCGCAGGGAAAATAGATCTTGACTGGAGTCCATCGTTTAGCCTGTGTTTCGGCGGCACACTCACTGTTGATTAGCGCACTCTCCATTGCTACGACAGCCTTCTCATAAAACTGGCCATTCTTCTGGAGCAACAATCCTCCTCCTCCGCAGTCGGCCGCGGCGCTCGTAAGCCCTCTGATCGTCGGTAGTTTCGTCACCGCATGGGGCCGCGTCGGTTACTCAATTTCTCACTGCCCGCCTCCGCGCGGCTATCGGCTTCCACATTTCCACCGCCCACAGCCGTCGACGACGTCTGCCGCCCACGGCCGCTGTGTCCGGGCGCTGGCGGTGGCGGCGGTCTCTCAGGCCTCCGTGGGTGTCGCCCAGCCCGGTGAAGAGCCAGTGTCGCTATCGGTCCGTCGATGGGGGTATCACGGCCCGGCTGACCCCGTTTCGCCCGGTCGCGGGAGACACGATAGCGCGTCGAGGGCATATCGACCGATGGAGCGTTGGGTTCGTTCGAGTCGCCAGTAATGTGACATACACGCATAGAAGGAAAGACTACTGGGCACTGACACACTCACCCACACACTATCACACACACACACACAGACACACACACATACATACGGCCTCGACACGTCGTATGGGCGGCTGTTCGGCGGCGCTCGTGCACCTGACCCTACCTGCTGCAGTTGATGGGGACGGCGGTGACGGTGGCGGCAGCGGCGGACGGTGGGGTGCGCGGCGCGCGCGCGACACGGACACCGTCTCTAGCGCCGTCGGCCGGTGGGCTGACGTCGCGCGCTACACCGAGGACCACCGTCGGCCGGCTCGGATCGACACTGCCGCCGCCCGACGCCGCCGCGGCACCAGCAAAATCAATAGGCACCGCGGCCGGCGGCGGCGCGTGCGCGGCCACCAGCGGCGCGCCGGCGCCCCGACCAGTGCGTATCGACGGCGCCGCGGCCAGCATGAATGGCACGGCGATTAACCCTGTGCGTCCGGCCGATAGCCATCGTGGATACTGAGCCGGCCGGCTGGGGCGTGTCTGCTGGCCGGCCGGGCTGGGTCTGAGGGCGGCCGGCCGGCTGAGTAGCCGGGGACGGGGCGGCAGAGCTGGAGAGGGGCGGAGCGGTGAGAGGGGGCCCGGGAGCCTCCAGGGAGCACCAGCTGATCTGTGCCACTGGGGCGCAATAAATACCTCACGAATGACTGAGCCCGAATTAGGTCAGAGGGACATGGAAATCGATTAAACTTGGCCCCATCTGCCGGCATTAACACACGCCCAGTTGATACTATCCGACAGCATTCGTCCCGGCCGCCAAGGAAAGGAGTGTAATGACCTGAGAGTAGAGATATTCAGCACGAAAAAAATCGAGCGCCATGCTCATAAGAATTACAGCGTCTAAATGATAAAACAGGAGCTGGTTTGCATCCGGCCAATGTGACCATTGCATTGAGGACAGGATTCGCCATGCGTACTGCCGCCCGATCATGGAGCGAACTCGGACGTAATTGCTCCGGTAATTAACTCGGTAAGATGGGCAGAAATCGATACAGAGCGCGAAGATAGGCCACAACTGGCCACCCGCAGTGATTTAAGTAGAATGAAATTACACTAGCGCTGCTGATTCCCTGCACCTGGGTCCCATGATTTACGGAGATAAATGGCAGCTAGCCGCAAGGCCGAGTTTCAACTACCTAGTGACTGAACGGTAAGCCCTCGTGGAGCAAGAGTCGGAAGACAGAATGAGGAAGAGCATCTTGGAAGAAAGGACACCGGGGAAAACTATGCACAGTGCAGGAGACATGACATGAGAGGAGGCGGGACACAGGAGCCTGAGCACAGGAGACAGGAGACAGACGGGATATAGAGTCGTGCACGATCCAGGTTCATGGGTAAATTGATCGTTTCTGTCTCCATTAACCTGCTCATGACCTTCCTGTTTAGTTGTTGACACTATCAGCCAGCCCAGTGTATCACTGCAGTGAAGTATTGTCATTATTGCTGAGCACCGAACAGCGACATTAGGACAGGGAACAGGGAATAGGAAATTAGAATAGGGAACTCGGTCACCATTCCTAGTTCGAGACACTCACCTCTGCCAGCGCGTTCATTTGCAGCTCCAGCTTGGCTTTTTCCCTCTGCAGCTGCGTGATAACGCTGACAAGCTCCTTCTTTCCTTTTTCCTTTAATATCTGTGAAATAGTAGCGTTATTAGTAGACTGATATTCTCGGGATGGTAATAAAATAATGATCCCTGTCTTCTCGGACAGGTTCGGATCTCACGTAAAAATTATAGGAGGGTAAATACTTTATATCGCTGGTATCACAACGATCTTTTAAGACTACACCCGATAACCATACGAAACTAAGAGGCGCTGAAAATATTTAAGCGTGTTTTGCTTGGGCCACCATTCTTATTACGCTTGAAGATTCACGTATGTAGCAGCGAAACGCAAGCCATTCAATCTTTGACGTACCTGCAGTTCATTCTTCTTTGAAAGTTTGTCGCTGATGATTTTCATGCGCTCCTTAAGCCGTTTGATCTCAGAGTCTCGCTCTTTGATCTGGCGCTGGTACTCGGACTCTCGCTCGCGCTGTTTGGCAGTGAGTGTGGTGCGCTGCTGCAGGCCGGGCCGCTCGCGCTGCGAGAGCCTCTCACTGCTGCTGCTCACACTACTGCCGTTTTGCTCACCGTTCAACGAGCGCTGCGGAGAGGCACTCACTGTCCGCACTGTCCGCTGTCCGGCACTCACTGTCCGCTGTCCGGCACTCGTTGTCCGCTGTCCGGCACTCACTGTCCGCTGCGGAGCACTCACTGTCCGCTGTGGCGCACTCACTGTCCGTTTTTGCACGGTAGTCGTCTTCTGCTGCAGACTGGGCGCCATTCTCTGCTGGATCTCGGGTGGCACGGCCCGCGTCTGCGGCAGCTGCCGAACGATCCGCGTCCGAGACCGCTCCTGCTGCTGCTGCGAAACCTCCCGCGACTTCTGTACACAGGGTACACAGGGAGAGCAGTGTGAGAGCGAGTGAAGCTGAGCTTAGCGTGCCGCATGAGATGAGCTAGGTGAACTGATTTTACAGACCGACGCGACTTAGCACAGACGTTAGAGTGTTTAGTTTTAAATCATCACGAACGAATGAATGCCAAGTACAGCACATAAGTTATTCACTGCCGCAAGTATTTAATGCGACGAAAATCCAAGATATGAATTCGTGTAGGTGACAAATCAAAGCAGTGTGCATAATTATCTGCTGTAAGTGGTAGGCACTAGCGACAAGTTTTCTCCGTTACCTTCTCCAGAGTTTTGACTTTCTCCTCCAGTTTGCGCGTCATGTTTGTGAGTTCCTGGTTCTTCTTTTTGAGCAGCTGTGTCTCTCGCAGTCTCTCGGCGGCCTTCACGCGGATCGCCAGCGGTTTCTCCAGCTCGGCATCCATGGCGGTCTTCTGCAAACGGAACAACAAACAGACGTGACGGTCTTCTGCCAGCGGCGCAGTGAACGTCAGCGTGGCGATACGCATGGCAACACACATGACAAGTCAAACACTGAAGAAAGTGGTCGTGTGAAATGAACGCGCGCAGAGTTGTGAAGAGAGAGGCAAGTCAGTCACACAATGCACCGAGAACGTGCATGTCAAACGCGTGTAAAATGCGCATTACATAAATTAACAAAAATAACCTTGGAAAGATGATGGGAAAGAAAACTAGTCAAATGAAAACTCACACTTTTCAAGGATAGACGATGCAATGGTATTATGGTTTTTAGTAATGCATCTCGGAACTACGTCAAGGGTTACCACTCTGGTTCTGCAAATCCATTAAGCTTCAAATGGCTTCATAAGAACTCAAGAAGATCAAAATTTACGAAGCTAAGCTTAACATTTGTAACAGAATTCTGAACAGGGTGATCCGTTTCGGGACGCTCCGTTATCGGCCGGGAGGTACCGCCTTTCACAGCGGAGAGTGTGGGAGTGAGCTGAGCCATTTGTCAACGCCATCCTACAACCGGTCAGCATTTGTATCGATCACAGCTCCGTTTAACTGCACAGCCACGGTGGAAACGAGCACCCTTAGAAAACGGAAGGAGCAATCACTCAGCTGAGTTAGAGAGGCAAGCCGATTGGCAAGCAAAATCAAAATTATCAAATAATTGTTCAAGCCCAAGAAAAATATTAACTTTGAATTCAAAGAAGAGGTCAAAACGAGGTCAGCGATTAGTAGGTTTTCGAGCTTACCAGGCCATTGTTGTCTAGTTTGAGGTTTTTACATTGTATCTGCAGCTTCTTGACCTGGGTGTCAAGCTGAGATGATCGTCGCAGGAGCTCCCTCTCACGATCAGTGACTCGAGAGCTTTTCTGTGAACAAGCAATACAGGAAGGTTACAAGAATGTTGATGGATAACATGACGGTCTTCACAAAACATTGCAAGAAACAGCCTGATAGTTTAGGACCACACATATCTTGGCAGACACAGTCTCGCAGTCTTGCAGTCTCACTGAATGCGCATCGCCGCCCCAGGCCGTCCTCGACGTAGACCTTTCCGTTCCCCTCCCACCCACTCCATCGCGGCATCTGCCGTCTGCCGGTCCGCGAGCGTCACTCAATCACATCCAACCGGTGGGAACAGCGACGAAAAAACGCCCCCGTTCCGATTCATTAGTGTGACTGACGGCCGAGTGGCGGTGTCCGATGGCTTCCGCTGAAGCAGAGACGTCACTAGTCCGGGGTTATTCGTGTATCATTTTGTGAGCGCTTTTGGTTTTTGTATCTTGTTCCTGTCCTCCATTAGAAAGTGATATTGAAAAAATGATGTAATGACAAATCGTTCAGTAATCAGTATATAGTAAGTGAAAACATATCCTCACGCTCTGCAATGAAATTGCAATTATTTCTCTAGAGATTCTCGATTTCCCACGATGAGGTCGGGGTAAGGTAAGGGGCGTCCCAGGAGAAGAGAGGGAGGTGTCGTCAGAGGGAGTGACATAAGTGGCTTCGTCAGTCCCCGATTTACCCCAGAGGCAAGTCAGCTTTTCTGTTAGACGTTCGCTCTGGTGTCATGACAACCGCAGCAATTCATAATCTCCATGACCGACCCCGACTCCGTTTCTACCCAAGTCTCAACTACACGACTCGTCGCTATAGTTACCGCCACAACAAAGCAGAAAACCCTCCAGACGTATTCTCAGCTAGGTAGGTTTGAACGTTTTCAAATGATACCAATTACGAGTAAAAACTATAACATTTACGTTGATGGAACCGGAAACGCATGCGTTTGTGCTCCGCTGGGAACAAAAAGACGAGCATTCCCCAAGAGTGGTCAATCAGATCACAAACCATGCCAAGACATTTGTACAGAGCGCCTCGTGAGGCTGTAATTTGGACTGGGACCGGCGCCTGGCCGGGTGGTGCCGGACCAGGCCCAATAGCCAGCTACCGATGATGGATGAGGGCGACCGCCGATACCACTGCCACGCCGCACCCTGCGGCCTGCGAGCGCCCCGGGCCGCGCATATCCGGCCCGCCACCTGCGCCCCTCGGGCCCACATCTGCTCCGCTTATAGCGGGACGGGTGAGAAACGTTTTGTTAATTGCTTTAAATGCTCGACAGTTGTTACTGCTTTCGGCATTTGTAACCGCACCGAATCCATCAGCGCGTGGTTCTTCCCGACAAATGGAAACGCGGTCTGGCGCTCGGTCTCAGAGCTATGCGGAACAGCATACCTTCAGGCGCTAACAACTAGTGCCATCTAGAGAGAGGGCGGTGAACTCGCAGCTAAGACGGCGACAGCTGGGGTCGATTATTATCTCGCTGGAAGCATTACGGATAACAGGGCCCGCTCAAATCCTGATGTACTTAGTCAATTGTTTCTCGTGTCCCTGTCTTTTTCATCACGTAACGTCCCACTACCCAGCATATGCAATAAGTAGCGTAGGTAATGCGGTCTTCGTAGGTACACATTTCCCGTCAATTTTATATGTATGTAATGGCAAAGTACATCACTGGCCCAAACTACAAGAAGTCCTCCTATGCATTTGTCGTGGTGGCCAACACAGTGTTGCCTATCTGGGAGATGGACTGGTCGGCGGTACACTGGGCGACACCAGCGCAGCTGTCATCTGACGTTGGTGACGAACCGCAACCGGCGGCCAGTGACAGCTGACGTCTGAGACCACAGTGCCGGCGACTGAAGACTGAATAGTGATAATGAAATTATAGCATTAGCAACCTCATTTCAAGCGACCAAGCCGATTTGATTTTTTTTTTTCTGGAAATGCTTCGCCAAAACATAACGAGCATATATAGAAAATGAATGTCGTTGGCATTATGGAAAACTGAAGAATCACGACTTGGTCTATTGTGTCTCGTACTAAATATGTAAGACGTGGAAAAACCTCAACTACCTACTGATTTACGCTATCTCACGGAAATCACCTTGCATTGGAGTTATCATATCAAAGTTGACCACAAATTGCTTACTAAAGCTATTATTGTTCGTGGATCCGCACAGTATATAGCACCACTCTTAACCAGGCAACCAATTCACATTATTTCTGGTAATACTTCCTCATAACATTATAAGCATGTCTCGGAAGTTCCTGTGTATAAGACGTAGGTATGTGCAGCCTGATTCACGTGTGGCTGTGATTGAATAACGTTAGAGATGGTCACATCTAAAGCGCAATGGCCACTGGAAGGAATAAATGATATATTGCCAGCGGATGTGGCGCATTAGACCGGCCACGAAATGCGCCGTGGGCGGTCGTGCACCGGAATTCGGACAGCTCCAACCGCGGTCCCAGTCGCCAAGGCCGTGCCCGCTGCGAGGAAAAATGTATCACCAGCCAGCTCAGACTAAAAACATTGTTTCGGAGAGCAGCCCTCCAGCATACAGCCGAGTTCTTTCCGTTAGCCGGTTCCGGCTCCATTTGTAAACATCTCTCAGATAAATTGTCCGTCTGCGGGCGGCCAGACCGCGGTTTTGCCTCCTCCGCCGTCAGTGCAGAAGCCAGGCTGGGTGGCGCTGGGAGCTAGTAATCACCGACACTCGAACGCATTGGCTGGCGCGCACTTCGCCAGAGACCGAGCTGATATATCGCAGCTAAGCTTCATTCAACTTCGGTTACCCGAATCAGCGGCCGGTCAGCTGACGCAACTGGCTTAGGGTGATCTCGGTACGAGTTTGCCACCAAAAAGTTTCTGAAGATTGAACTTCGCTCGTAAGTGGGTACTCCTAATCTATACAGCTATTTAGATTAGAAGCTAACTAAACGTGATCAAAAATAGCATTGTTACCTACTGATTTTATTCGATGCTTGGTTGTTTGGTCGTTCCTTCGGTCCTGTCCACGTCTGCACTGCATATTTCATCCCCGCCCAGTCACGCTCAATGCTCTCTTTCGTCCCCCTTCCTCTCTCTGTCTACATCACGTCAGTCACCGTCTCCGTCTCCGTCTCCGTCACCGTCACCGTCACCGTCACCGTCACCGTCACCGTCACCGTCACCGTCACCGTCACCGTCACCGTCACCGTCTCCGTCTCCGTCTCCGTCTCCGTCTCCGTCTCCGTCTCCGTCTCCGTCTCTGTCTCTGTCTCTGTCTCTGTCTCTGTCTCTGTCTCTGTCTCTGTCTCTGTCTCTGTCTCTGTCTCTGTCTCTGTCTCTGTCTCTGTCTCTGTCTCTGTCTCTGTCTCCGTCTCCGTCTTCGTCTCCGTCACATCTCCGTACCATCTCCGTAACATCTCCGTACCGTCTCCGTCTCCGTCTCCGTTCCCATTCCGTCTCCGTCTCCGTTCCCATTCCGTCTCCGTCTCCGTCCCCGTCTCCGTCTCCGTTCCGTCTCTGTTCCGTCTCCGTTCCGTCTCCGTTCCCATTCCGTCTCCGTCTCTGTCTCTGTCTCCGTCTCCGTCTCCGTCTCTGTCTCCGTCTCCGTTCCGTCTCCGTTCCGTCTCCGTTCCGTCTCCGTTCCGTCTCCGTTCCGTCTCCGTTCCGTCTCCGTTCCGTCTCCGTACCGTCTCCGTCTCCGTCTCTGTCTCTGTCTCTGTCTCCGTCTCCGTCTCCGTCTCTGTCTCCGTTCCGGCTCCGTCTCCGTCTCCGTCTCCGTCTCCGTCTCAGATCTGTATCCGTCTCCGTCTCAGATCTGTCTCCGTTCCGTCTCCGTCCCATCTCCGTACCGTCTCCGTTCCGTCTCCGTACCGTCTCAGTCCCGTCTCCGTACCGTCTCCGTCTCCGTCTCTGTCTCTGTCTCTGTCTCCGTCTCCGTTCCGTCTCCGTTCCGTCTCCGTTCCGTCTCCGTTCCGTCTCCGTTCCGTCTCTGTTCCGTCTCCGTTCCGTCTCCGTCGTCGGCGGGGCGCCGGCCGCGGACGGGTCTCTCAGACCGTTTGCGTGATATCATCCCTGACGGGCGGCGGCAGGCCGTCTCCGCCGCTAATGACATACGTCGCTCATCAGCCGGGCCGCCATCTGAGCCAGCGCGCCGCTCCGCCCGGCCTGCGCGTGCCGCCGGACTCACGGGCCCGACGGGCGGCGGCACCGACAGGCGGCTGTGGTCCGCGGCGCGCGGCGGGGCCGGCCGCCGCCGCCGCCGCCGCGCTGGGAGCCGCCGCCGGCAGCGGCTCGGTTCCGGTCACTTCCGGCCGTAACAGGTGGCGGACGCCCGCGCCGGCCCCGAGACGGAGGCTGGACGCCGCCGGTGGGAGGCGGTCGCAGCGGCGGCTCGGTGGGATCAATCGGTCCCACCAGGCCGGCTGTCAGTGAGCGGTGCTGCCTGGAGAGGACTGGCGGCCTGCGGGGCCGGCCGGCCCGCCCGCCGCGGCACGCTGCCAGCTGGCCGCGGCTGCTACGACACCGGGCGGCGCCGACGGCCGGCGGCCAGCAGCCTCCAGAGCAGCAGTGGAAACACAGCAGCCATATCTCAGAGCAGCGCCCACAGCCGACACATACCAGAGCAGCAGCGACAGGAAACCGGCCGGGGCCGGGAGCAGCACCCACAGCCGCCATCTCAAACAGCAACAGCTCTGAGACGGCTAGTGCAAAGTCAAACTCAAGGAGCAGTCAAACCACAGGACAGCCCCCACTCAGTTTTCAGAGAGGCAGTACAGGACGGCAAGACAGCAGAAATTCGAGAAATTCGAGAAGCCAGTTGGCAGCTCCCCAAAGCAACATCATATAACAGCAGCCAGCCGGCTCCTTAACTAAACCGGCGATCTACAGCACCCAGCTAAATAAATAAAATATACGACACCGGTGCCTTTAACATTAACCAATATATACTTATCAAATCAATGGTTGCTATTTCAAATAACTAAAGCCAACCCAATTGGTGATTTTTTTCGAAAACAGATTATAGCATTCAATAAA